AATTACTGCTTCTGTATCATTTACTGGTAACAGATCCTACTAGTCTTTTTTCTGAAAAATGCTTCGTATTATAAAAACAGAACTGATAGAGAAAATGGACTCCACAGAATTCAAGTTCCCAGAGTTTCTGGGTCTCTCTGACGGGCGTTTTACTGTATGTAGGTGGTGTGGAGTGAGAGGCTTCAGGAGTATACGATCTGGAAAGAAAAAAATAAAAACTATTTTAGAAAACTTAATTTTCATGGCAAACAAACCAGACTCTTCCACTTATTAAATAAAGACTAAAAAGGATTTACACCTTAGAACACATCAAACTATGGTTAGAAAAGTTCTAAATTAAAACAAACTCCATACACATCCAAACCAAAACCCAACTCTGCTAGGAGTCAATTCTGACTCATAGCAACCCTAGAGGACAAAGCAGAACTGCCCTGGGTTTCGGAGATGTTACCTGTATCAGCGTAGAAAGCCTCCTTTTCCCCTTGCGGGGCAACTTGTGATTTCGAACTGCTGCCCTTGTGGTTAGCAGCCCAACATGTAACCACCAGGGCCAGTAACATCAACTATACAAGTTAGAAAAAATGACCAACGTTTTAACCTAATGGAGCTTTTCATACAGGAAAAATTTTGTACTTGTTTTCAGCTCTTCCGGTTGCAACTTTCAGCAGTTTGCTAGAAGCAAAAAGAGGCTTGGTAAGAAAAGACTTCCCAACCCCGAGATGTTATAACCCAGCCCACGGGAGACCAGAATAAAGTCAGGATGTTGAACCTGTAAAAAAAAAAGAAAGAAAGAAAGACTTCCCTCTTCTTTATCAGCGCGGGGGCAGAGTGAACACCAACTTTCTTTTACAAAGTCCAGTCTCTGCAGTGCTTACGTAAAGGGACTAGTCCAGTTAGGGCAAAATGTACCAAGAGCTCAAAACCATAAAACCCTCAAACTTTAAAATTCCCTCACAATTCCAAAGCAACAGCCACGAAATGCAATTAAAACAATACCTAACGACGCCAATGTGCCTGCTTGCAAACGTGCTTGAATTGCACGGGGTCACATATACTTAAAACAACACACTTTTCATCTACAAGCACCAAAGTGCTGATTTTGCTCTCTTTATGCAAACGGCGACTGGAAAAGAAATGGAGAGAGGGTGGGATGCACCCATTCATTTCCCGGACGGGGTTTGCACAATCACAACCGACTGCTGAAAGTGGCGGGGCGCTTTGGGAACTGCACGACATACACGCTCTCGCTGCCACGGGGCTGTCTTCGACTAACCACATCCAATTTAAGAACATCGAGGGCCAAACCTAAAACCGTGCACACAAAACAAACTCGTCGGGAGAGAACACAGGAGTCTTTGTCCAAGTCCAAGGGCCAGAAGGGTGGGCGTCGGCCCACGTACGCAGGAAAACAAGTCCATCTCTGAACGTCACTTTCGATTAGCTCGCCTGGAAACCCGGGCTTCCGAAGGCCAGACAAGCCGGGGCCGGAGCAGAGTTCGCCGCGGCCCCGGACCCTCAGCCCAAGGGCCCGCGGGGCCGGGCCCACCCGCGTCCGACGGCAGCTTCCCGGGCCCCGCTCGCCGCGCGAGCTCGCGCCGGGAAGCAGCTGCACTCACCGCGAGGCCGGCAGAGACGGAAGCCGCGCAAGACGCGAGCACGCCGGCCGCCCGGAGCAGCGGCGACGACGACGCGCTGAAAGCTCGCCCGGCGAGCCCTGGCCTGACGGCCCCCCCCAGATGCTAGATCTTTTGATTGCCAAGCACTATCAGCTTTCTTCACCACATTTGCTTATGCACCCATTTTGTCTTCAGCAATTGTATCAGGAAGCTAAGCATCACAGAATGCCAGGTTTTTAGACCAAAGTGTTCTTGAATTGAGGGAGTACTTGAGTAGAGGCCCAATGTCCATT